TCTTCAGATCTCCTCTGCTGCAGTGTCTGACTCTGCTGTGTACTACTGTGCTGTGAGGCCCACAGTGACAGGAAACAGCAAAACTCTGTACAAAAACCTTTGGAGCAAAGACAACAGAATACTCCACAACATCCACTCGAGGGAGCCACACACTGTTAAACCACTGATTCAAGTTGAGAGTAGTGAGCTTTATTTGTATGTCCTGAAACTTTTGCGTGTGTCCCTGCTGCAACAGACCTGAATAAAATTAGTAGGTCATTTACAACACTATAGGCTTGAGGAGATCTGCAAAGGAGATCTGGAGGAGATCTGAAGTGTAACCTTGCCTCAAGGTTACATTTCATTATTCATTATTTGTTTAAACAAATAATAGAACCTTGAGGTAGATTCTGTATTTAGCTGGCAGCCAAGTATCAAAGTAACACTCTCTTTCAGATCTTTAGATCACAAGAAAGTTTTGCGTTTAGAAATGCTCCTGAGCTGTAAAAAACTGCCACGAACAACCGAGTTTATTTGTTCAAGGTTCAAGGTTCTTTATTTGTCACATGCATAGTTATACAAGTATAACACACAGTGAAATGTAACCTGACATGCTCCTCAACTTGTGCAAGAAAAAGGGGCGGGTGGCGGGTAGAGAAAGAGCATTCTAAGGAGCTTGGAAAGAAAAGCGTCTGGACTTGATTAAGTGGCTTGAAGATGTTTCACCTCTCATCCGAGAAGCTTCTTCAGTTCTAAGGGTCAACCACCGCCTCTGTTCAAAGATGGTCGCTCACAGTGGACATAAATGGCTTCTTTCACTGAGGCTGGATGGCTTGGGGATAGAAGCTCCCCTTGAGTCTCTCTGTCCTTGCCCGGATGATGCGGAACCTTCTGCCGGATTGCAGAAGATGGAACAGTTCGTTGCCAGGATGGGACGGGTCCTTCAGTATCTGCGCTGCTCTAGTCTCCTGGTGTAGGTGTCCTGAAGTGGGGGGAGAGCAATCCTGCAGCAGCGTTCTGCTGCAGGATTGGTCACAGGTCACAGGTCACAGATATCGGACTACTCTTCAAAGAGGAGGGAACTGGGATTCATAGTACGTGCAAAGAAAAAACATGAATACAGCTAAAATGCAAAACCGGCTTATTTAAATACATGTATTCTATCTAAAAACAACATCCCATGTGATCATCACAGATTCGGTTTGAAAATTCCAGCGGAAAGCTTCAATTATTAGGAATTATTCAAGACTACTTGTCGTTTTCAGGTATTTTCTCTCGTTCATTTTTACAGCGAAAAAATGCTTTGAGTATGACGCTTATGTGTAAGTTTGTTTGGGAAGGTCTGTAATTGCTAATCTGCATTTCAGACATTACTGCCACTTTCCCACACGGTCAGTCTCTTTGCTGACATCATGTTAGTCCAGTCACCTTCTCGCCCATCTTCTTTGAGCCAATCAGGTTCCAGAATATCGAGGTATGAACTTTGGCTATATCGCCCATCCCTAATCTGAAACATCTTAAGGACCGAGCTCAAGTGGCTTTACAATGACAGCATTCAGGTGGGAGGAGTCCGAGTAATGAAATAAAGTAATGGCAGGTGTGCTTTAATTTAATGCATGCAGAAGCTAACAGAAATAACCTATAAAAATCTATTCAACGGTTAGAAAGGATACAAGTACAATGCAAGTAAACCATTATCTTCATTTAACCCTAGTCTATTTTAGTCCATTTTTTTAAACCCTTTCTTGTAAAGTGGTGCTGGATGAAAGATGAGCTCTGGAAGGTCCCCATGATGCAGGAAAAACACCTTTTCCTCACACTGTGCTGACGAGCAGAGAAACACCTGTGCAGCTACAGGAATGAGGTCTTTGAGCAAGGCTGGAAGATTCCAAGGGACACAATCGAAACTTTCTGCTTTACTACTGTCAAAATATTCATCCATTAGTTACTGCAGTGTACATAAAACACAACAAAACAAAGACCCTCCCCCATGCTGGTCCTGCCTACCCAACCTGATGATCCCATTAACACAACACGCCTACATTCTTACAAAACTCAAAAGTTAAAAAAACGACAAAAAACAAAAATGAAAAAATATGTCATTCTTAATGAATGGAATAACCAAAAGTGATACAGTGAGATGCAAAAGGTTGGGTAACATTGTTAATAGTCATTATTTTCCTGTATAAATCGTTGGTTGTTACAATAAAACATGTCAGTTAAATACATCATATAGGAGACACACACACAGGGATATTTGAGAAGTGAAATTAAGTTTATTGGATTTACAGAAAGTGTGCAAAAATTGTTTAAACAAAATCAGGCAGGTGCATAAATTTGGGCCCCACAAAAAAAGAAATGAAATCAATATTTAGTAGATCCGCCTTTTGCAGAAATTCCAGCCTCTAAACGCTTCCTGTGGGTTCCAATGAGAGTCTGGATTGTGGTTGAAGGTATTTTGGACTGTTCCTCTTTACAGAACATCTCTCGTTCATTCAGATTTGATGGCTTCCAAGCATGGACAGCTCTCTTTAACTCACACCACAGATTTCAATAATATTCAGGTCTGGGGACTGAGATGGCCATTCCAGAACGTTGTACTTCAAATTGAGTTTCAACTTTGCCACAGAGAAATATATCAATAAATAAAACAGCTAAAATTCATTTTTTGATAGTCACCATATTTTCATTGACGCATTTGATGAGAACAGATTAACCCTATAACACCCTTAGTGTCATATTTGCTACATTAGTTTCTAAGACCTCTATCTCATCAAAACAAAAACATCAAATTATCAAAAGGGAAACAAAAAGTATATTTCTATTATATATCATAAACAACATGACATTAAAAATGTGGATTTTGTTATAAGGGTTATTAAACATCTCAGCCCCGCCCCAGAAAAATTATTTATTTTTAGAATTGATGGATTGGGTCTTACAGGGTTAAATCTGCCTTATACATGATAAACATGGTATTTAAAGGTATCTAAACTCTGAAAGTACTCATGTGAACCTGTATAAATTCTCAGATATTCTTCCACGCTTGGCTTCTCAGACATTGTTCTCTAAATGTTTCAAGACTACGATTTCTCACCTGTGTGAGTTTTCATGTGGCGCCATAAATGACTGCTAGATGTGAACATTTTCCCACATGTTTTGCAATGATACGGTCTCTCACCCGTGTGGGTTTTCATGTGGCGCCATAAATGACTGCTAGATGTGAACATTTTCCCACATGTTTTACAATTATACGGTCTCTCACCTGTGTGCGTTCTTCTGTGTGCCGATAAATGACTACTACTTGAGAACACTTTCCTGCATGTTTTACAATGGTACGGTCTCTCACCTGTATGCATTCTCATGTGTATGGTCACACCACTGCTTCGCGTATAACTTTTCCCACATATTTCACAAGAATATGGTTTCTCACCTGTATGGGTAGTCAAATGGCCTTTAAGTGTTGATAACATACAAAACTTTTTCCCACACGTTTCACAAGAATATGGCTTCTCACCTGTGTGGATTCTCTGATGTCGAGTCATTCTGTACTTATACTTAAAGGATTTTCCACAAAGATTACATGTTATAGACTCTTTACCTGTGTCAGAATTACTCTGACTTTCTAAGTTACTATTTGTCCCCGAGTCTAAATTCCTACTTCCTCCGTGATTTTGGCTCTCATCTATAGGAGAGGTTTGAAAAGGGAGCTGGTTACTGTTTGCTTCTGGTTCATGGTGGTCTCTTTCCTCAGCAGCAGTCACCATAAAGGTATCAATGTCCTCCTTCAGTCCAACCTGCTCACCCTCCTGACTGGTGCAGAGTTCCTCCTGTTCCTCTTTAATATGTGGAAGTTCTGGTTCCTCCTGGTGCAGAGAGTTCCTCTCCTGGCTCCAGAGCTGTGGCTCAGGGAGAACCTCCTCGTCCTTACAGACAGGCTGCTGTGGAAGTTCTGGCAGGACAAAAAGGAAATGAGGAAAAGGTAATGATGATAGACTGAGAGCTCCTTTTTTTTTTTTTGAATCTGCTTTTCTTTACAGAATCTCAAGAGATTATGAGAAAAACAGCGACCCAGGGTTGGATGTAACTTATAGCTGATTTTGTTTTTTGTTAGTGCATTTACAACTGTTGAAGTATTGAAGATAAGGTGGGTCCAAGTTTTTGTCAGAGTCTGCGCAGTAGTTACTTGAGGTGGAGCGTCTACATTACTTTCCCGCCCATACACCTGCTGGACGTGACCACGAAATCGCCGACCTTTAGATTTTATGTAGCCCGGCTGCTCCCACTGATGACTCATTAAATTAAGGTAAATACAACCACATTGCTCCTATTTATAAAAACAAAGAAACAAAAACCCAAACCCCCCAAACAAACAAAAAATGTTATATGTTGTTACACCCTGGCCTAGGCAACCGGGGTGCAACGTAGAAAAACAGAAATAAGGAAAATAAAACCACGAAGGCTCTCCACCAAAATCCCAAAATGAAAATATCCCATAACGAAA